ATTATGTCAGCGAGGGGAAGGTTGGATAAGGATTCTTATGGAACAGTTTTGAAATAATATTTTCATAGAAGAAGTGTAAATGTCTACTGCTGCTACTTCATCTGATCCTTATGGAATCACCACTCCAGGGACACATCTTGTCCAGAAGGACAAGGTCTCTCTAGAGGACTTCGTTCTCATCAAGGTCATTGGTAAAGGGAGCTATGGAAAGGTAGAATAGTATTGATTAATACCTTGTAGAGTATGTACCCAGGTGATGCTAGTACGATATAAGAAGGATAACAATGTGTATGCTATGAAGATGCTGAGGAAAGAAAACGTGATGAAACGCAATCAGGTAGGTTACTTGATAACTGAGTAGTGACTCTCGGTAGTCTAGGTTGAGCACACTCGAACAGAGCGTAACGTACTGGAGACCGTATCACACCCTTTTATTGTAAACCTGGTCTATGCGTTCCAGACTCCTAAAAAGCTCTACTTTATATTGGAGTACTGTCCAGTAGTGATACCTCTGAATATGCACAGTTGTCTTATTCTTATCATCAGGGGGGAGAGTTGTTCTTTCACCTATCGCGAGCCCAGCGGTTCTCTGAGAATAGGTGTCGATTCTACGCCTCGGAGATCCTGTTGGCCATTGAATATCTCCATAAGTATGATATAGTCTATAGGGACCTCAAGTAGGATGCATCTCGTGCCCCGTGTCGGCTCATTTGATTTGTTAGGCCTGAGAATGTACTACTGGATGCTGATGGTCATGTGAAGCTTACTGACTTCGGCCTGTCTAAGGAAGGTAGTGGTGGTATCAGGTGACATTTGTGCAAATTTTGGGGAAAAATGAGGAATTTCTCATTGGTTTCTGAACGCTTCTGCCCGAAATTCGTATTAAACTTATATAATTGGTGAGGAAACTTCTGATTTCGGCTGAGGAAAGCGAACGTATATTCCAACACTGGGTGGGATAACTGCTCAAACGATCTTGATGCTGCGAGTATTCAGGTATCATGGATAACTCCTCGGCGAAGTCGATGTGCGGTACTCCTGAGTATCTAGCGCCAGAGATATTGGAGAAGAAGGGTCATGGAAAGGCTGTGGATTGGTAGAGGTATCTTAGGTTCATCGCAGTAAGATACAAAATAGGTACTCTCTTGGTGCGCTGATGTATGAGATGCTCACGGGCCTACCACCATTCTATACGAGGGATAGGGAGAAGCTGTTCGAGAGGATTAGGTATTATTCATCATAACTACAGTGTGGTGTGGTATGCAGATCGCCTCAGGCACGGCGAGCTGTCTTATCCATCGTATATCTCCCCTATAGCCAAGAACTTGTTAGAGCAGCTATTGTGTCGCGACCCTAATAAACGTCTAGGGTCGGGGCCTGCTGATGCTCAGGACATAAAGAGCCATCCTTTCTTCCAGGGTGTTGACTGGTAGTAATTCTCATGGATGGTATGCTATCTAATAGAGGATTGCAGGAATGCTATGCTATCGCGTCAAGTGACGCCCCCCTTCAAGCCCTCTGTATCGACACAGACAGATGTGAAGTACTTTGATAGGGAGTTCGTTGACTTACCTGCTATTAACAGCCTGGAGTATTCAGGAGCCCCAGTCGCTGATGTAGGCTTGGCATGTGGGGCTGTTTGGATGTACTGTTGTAGATACACCACTTCGATGGCTTCACGTATCAGCCGTCCAATCTCCCTCGATAGAATCGGCAGGAGATTAAACTCTTCGGTAGTCTTCCAATACGAGAGGATATAGATTGTGCCTATTGCTGATGGTTTAGCATTGTTGGAAATGTCGTCGGAGTATGAAATATCGCTATAATCGAATACTTGTCAGCCGATTTATGGTTTCATCATTTACCTTTACTACTAATAGGATCATCAACTGAGTTCACTGTTGAGTTGTATAATATCTATTAAGCCAGAAATTTCTCTATAGAGTGCTCGGTACCTCATGAAAAAAGTTCAGTTCCTACACCATGTAGGTATATGGTATGAAGTTGAGGTACTACCTTGATCGCTGTCATGGCAACTGCAGCAGTTGACCCTGGCGTGCAGCCCTTGATAGAAGCGTATATCTCGAATGCTGAAGTGCTGTCTAAGTGCACAGGCGTCCATGAGGATCCAGTGGTACGGTCAGATATAGGGGG